TTATCACCTAAGTTCAATTATCTACCACTGCTGAAATAAATCACCTCAGGATTAAAAGCTGTCTTTACAACATTCACATTTATCTTTTTTTATTATTATTATCCTAGCTGCTTTTCAAGTACCTCTGCCTTGCCTTGCCTTGCCTTGCCCTTGCCCTTGCCCTTGCCCTTGCCCTTTCCTCTTCATTAGTGGACAGAAAGAAGTCAATATGCATTAAATTATGAGTATTGTTTTCCATAGATCTTAATTAAACTATTAAGTATCCATTCACTTTCCTTCTGCTTCAGTCTGCCCTGAGGGGTTCCTCCTGGAGTGACATAATGAGTTGTCTATATACCCCGTTTTTCATTTTGTTTTGTTTTAAACTTATTTAACGCAAACTTAGCTCTTTTTGCCATCTAGTTGTGCTCAATAAGTTCATACTATCACTAAATCTAAGGTAATTTTATAGGATAACTTCCAGGATTCTCCTACTTTAAAACCTCTTCCAAACACTGAGAAGTTTGGATTAAAATTCATTCTGCTTGCCAACAAAGAAGCAATTATATATAAAGACTGCTAACAAGAAAAAAAAGCCCATGCAGATTTTGTGGAAGCACGTGATTTGTCATTCACAACATGGTACCAGAGAAAGGTGCATTTGTGGACTTCATTATCCTCCTCTGACCCAGGCTGTGTTGACAGAGGTCTCCCAATTAGCCTGAAGCAGAGTTAACAAGGCAGCATTCAAGGAAGCAGAGTGTTTCTGGCTGTGTGGTGTACAGGGCTGCTTACTCTGCCTCTAATTGGAAGAGAGCCTCCTCCCTCTCCTGGCCACCTTCACCAGCAACTGCTGAATCTGCAACACTCCCTCTGTGCCCATGATCTAAACTCCAGCCATTCCCTGATGGCTTGTCTTGCAGATCACATTTCCCACCGACTTGGGGTCTATATCTAACACCCATGGAAAACCAAAAGCGTCCCAGAATCCAGCTACTGTCTTTCGAAAACATACTCTTGTCACAAGCATCAGCTCCTGGCAGATACTTAACAGAACCAATCCTTTCCTTCTTGCTTCCCCCACATTTTCAGCTTTGCTGCTTCTTTCATTAACTCCTCATCACATAATCTGAACACACAAATTTTTGCAAGGCTAAGAAGGAGCCTAATTGCATTATTTCTTCTGCTTTAAGCCAGGTCTACCTGTGTTACAAGTAAATAGAAAGTGGGGAACTAGCAGTGAAATAAACATATTTCACAGAGTGGGTAAAGTATGTCTGAAGAGATGAAAGACATTTATTTTTTCTATGCTTCTCTATCTTTTCATGTCTTGGATACTTTTCTGTGGAAATTTTTTTCTCTTTTCAAGTGGTTTGTGTCCTTTTTGACATGATGTCTTTTCAGCTATCTTTCCAGCTCTATTCACGTCCCAAAATAGCCACATTATCACACAAAAGAAAGTGAAGCAAAGATATCAGGCACTGATCTAAGATGTCCAGATCAACAACAGCACTGGGGAAATCAAAGTTAGAGGCAGTATGCACAAACAGGCATCAATGGTCATAATACAAAAGTTGGAGATTTTTCCATCAGTGTTGGTTCCTGCAGCAGACATGTTTCAGGGACACTTGATATGAATTCTCATGGCTAGTTTATGGTTGCATACGCCTCTTATCCAGCCTGGTGATGTTCTTGGCCTTGACCATTTTTCAGCACTTTGGTGAAGTCTTCTGCACAAATCAGTCTCCCTAAAAAGTGAAGCAGAATGAATGTGAACTTTAAATGTTTTTAACGTTCCACTTCTAAATTATATGATGGTCATTTGAGAAGATCTGGTAATATGAGTCCAATTATCTTAATTATAAAGGGCAAATACAGGAAAATCCAGAGAATCTCAGAGGTTGTCATGACAATTTGCCTTTCTATTACAATAGTTTCACCTTAAAAATAACAAAAAGGGAAAAAGCATAGTCATTATGTATGTTTGGTGAAAGTAAATACAAGGCATTACATAGATACTTTCTCTTGAGCTCTTAAAGAAATAATCAAATTTGATTTTGACCTGATTTTGTAAAAACCGTCTGTACCATTTGTAGTACCATCGTACAAAAAGCCAGATGATCAGGTTTGTCTCTAAATGTTGTTGATATGGCATACAAAAGTTGCAGCACTGCCTACAAAACAATCTTTGGGCCAGAAAGCAGGAAAATTTAGTCAAGTAAAATGATGGGAGGGAAAACAAACTTTTTTGATACAGATTTTGGTTGAGAAGATCCTGAGTTGCAGGTTGCCAGAGCTCAGACAGCTGTAACACAGAACAAACACTTGGTTGTCTTCTTCCCATGCCATCACCCTTGCCATCTGACTGGTACCTGCTGGAAAGCCTCCAGGACTTCCTGGAGGCTTGCCCTGCTGCAGTGTGAATATTTTTACATAACCTAAAGCAACTTGGCAGGGTAAATACACTTGACAGAAATTTGCTCAGTGTGAATGACTTGAAGCCACAAGGCCAAAAATTTAGGGTAATTTAATGTCATTTATCATGCTGGGAAAGTGAAAGGAAGCTGAACAACAGAGGTTGCATCTTCTTGTGGAAATACTGAAGTCTCCAGTTCTGATATTTGCTAAAATGAAATATTTAAAGGGCTTGAAACAATTAGGCTGTGCGCAAGAAATATCGAATATCACCAAAAGAAGAACCGTCATGAACAGTCTATTCTTTCTTTAAGTTAATTGAATTCTTGGAGTGACTGTCCAAAGCGATGTTTCTTCTCCATAAAACTAGTATTCTTTTAAATAATTGAAAAGTGAAGTCAGTCACCTGGCACCAGAGCAGAACACAGTAGCAGTTATTTAAGAGGTTGAAACAACCCCCATTGAGTCTCTAGTACTTCTCTCTTTTGATGTTTGCAAACAAATCATTGTAAGAGCAGATCTCAGCAACTGTAGATTAAGGAGCTATTGAAATGTCACAATGGTGTCCTGAGGTCAGTTGCTTACAATATAATGGTGATGAATAATACTGAAAGGAGATCCTTTGAAACTGAATCGAACCTTTCTTAGTCAAAAATACAGGAAAAATCTTGAAGGATGGGAATCCATGAATTGTACCTGACTACATGTTGTTCTTGTCAGAATAACCAGCTATGCCTTGGTTAATATGATAGCAAGCTTTCAAGCATGCTGACAGTGTAATTGATTTTTATTGGGTTTTTTGTGGGGTGGTCATGGGATGAAAAGAAAGGAAAAAAAAATCAGGAAGAAATTGAATTCAAGACTAACTGGCACAACTTTTTCAGTGAAATTTGGGGGAAATAAGTAAAAATGCTATTTTGGATCACAAAAATAATGTATTGAAAAATAAAATCTTTTTTACTTGGAAGATACTTGAAACATTTTTACTTACAATGGTTATAGTGAAATTTATCTGAGAAAAGGGACTCCATCCCTTTGAATATTCCCTAACATTCAATCTAACACCACCACCCCACACCCTGGTGCAACCTGAGGCCATTTCCTTATTCTGGTTCTTATTTTCTGTTACTTGGAAGAAGAAGAAATGTGATCAGAGGCTCAGTCAAACAGGAGCCAGACTCAAGAAGATTTCAGATCATTCATGGCAATGGCTTGGAGGCTCTGCAAAGCTTGACTTCTTTCACTGTATTGCTGCATCCTCTGACATAATCTGCCAGCCAAAAAAAAATTAACCTTTAGGTCAATCTCACAGACTTGCAGAGCAGAATTGGCAGTGAAATCTGCTTGGCTGCAAGAGTTCTCACAGAGAACAGTGTTTGTTACTCTGGGTCCTTCATGGGTTATTTCTTTATTTACATTGATGGAAAATGTACGATTGTGACATTTTGAATTAACACACAGTGATATTTTAGTAATTTTTTAGGTTACAACAAAGGGATTTGTGGGTGCTTTTCTTGCTGTGTTAGTGAGAGGGATAAATGAGGCCATGCACACCTTACAGCAGTACCCTGGCAGGGTGGAACCTTAAACAAGATTAAAGACACTCATAGGAGGAAGGCATCAAGGAAATAGCACCATGACCAAAGAGGTTGTTTTGCATTGCAAATATAAAAATGCATCACTTTTCAACGGGGAAAAAGAAATTTCTGATGTGACAATTACATTAACCATCTATTGTTGTTGTTAGGCTTTTAATTTGCCTTGTAATCTACAGCTATTATATTAATGAGATGAATAAAAATTGATTGTATGATGCATTAGAGAACAATCTAATTTTAACTAGCATGGGTGGGCTGTTGTTTCCTAGATGGTTTATTATTATGGTTTGGACTGGTTGAAGATTTGTGGGGCATCGATTGGAAAATGCCATTCTCTAACAAAAAGGAAATTAAAATTTGGCATAAGAATAAATTATGACCACTGAGTGCTAAACAGATAAAGACTTTCAGAAGCTATTTCAGCAGTAGAGATCAGATGATGCCTCATTAACTACCCCAGACTTCAAACAAATATGGTAACATAATCACTTTAAAATTCCCATGCTAATTAAAATTTTGCTTTCTTTTGCACTGTGTTATGTGTATTTCAGAAGTGCAGCAGCACCCCCCATTAGAACTATAGCAACTTTTAAAACAATGTGTCCTTTTCAATCGTTCATATCTTATGAGAGACTTCCCATTTTTTGCGTTCTATTGGTCTGCATAGCTTCTTCAAAGCTTATGTAAAGCAGCATACTTCTGTGTACTTCTTCCAATTCCTCCAGTCAACTGCACCTCTGAAGAGATCTGCTTCTGATAGAACCAATCACATCTTTTCTATTGTTAAAAAACAATGATTATGAAAAATCACAGATTTGCCAGTATTCAGTTTGTGTGCCATACAACTGTGCCTGAATGATGCCACTTAACTCACTGACAAAGCATCAGATCAGAAATTTAGGTGTTCCCAAATAGCACTGAAACAGTGAACTGATAATATTTTGAAGAACATTTTTTTAGGGAATGCAAAATATTCATATGTGTATATATATATATATTAATTTCTAGATGGCTATCCTAAAGAGGAAATGATTTACAGATGGAGGAAAAATTCAGTGGAGGCTGCTGATCAGAAATCTTGGAGACTCTATCAGTTTGACTTTATGGGTCTTAGAAATACTTCAGAAATTGTGAAAACCTCTGCAGGTAAGAATGATACAAATGGTAGTGTTTTTTCTGGAATTCAAATTAATTGAAAATATTTATCCTTGTTTTGCTTTCATTCAAGTGCAAATTGATTTTAATATGTTCCAATGGTCATATTAGAACCTGTAAAGTTCAAACCTCAAAAATATTGACTTTATCTTAATTTTTGATAATCTCTACTCTTCTGGAGACTTCACAAATTGAGGAATAAATGTTTGCTTGATATGGTGGTTTGTTATAGACTTGGAGTTACTGTATGATTCTAATTCCTCATTTATTAGGCCACTCCTGCATTAAATCTGTCTTCACCATATGTTAAAAATTTTGAGCACAATGGTAGGTTAGTGAAATTAGACACTTTCTGTACTTAATCATTCAGACAACGGTTTAATATTTTTCTTAGTATTTCAAAGGCACTCTCTCAGCTGATAAATGCCTTTGCTTAGTGATCTTACCAATTGATTGCAATTAAAATCTAATGATGCCTGTTCTATTTCTTCAGAAATCTTGCTGTTTCTTATAATTCAGTAATATAGAGAAAGAAAATAAAAAAAAATTAAATGGAATACATTATTTGAACTGGATAAACTGTGGTAACACCGTGTCTAAACTTTATATATGACTGCAGTAAGCTCCATGATTACCATGATTTGGTAAGTCTTCTCACAGCTTCTGGGGGAATCTGCTAGAAGCAACCTTCTGCTTAACAGGTGGTGAATTCTAGAAAAAAATCTAATTTTTTTGTTCACAAGGTAAGCAAAGTGAAGTTATTATTTTCAAAACACTGAATAATGTTAATGATAAAAAAAAAATTATAAGTCTATGGAACTAATGCTGTTCAGTCCTGGCCCACTCACTAACATCAGCAATGAATTCTTAGAACTGGATAGCAATTTTTGTAATGAAAAGTCACTAAAGCTTTAGTGAATATTTTGAGTTGGTGGTTTAGCAGAACAAAATGTTGCAAAGAGCACACATGTGAAAGTTGTCTTTTGTTATGGATACAAAGCCTTTTAATTTGCAAGTTACTCAGGAATGCAAATTTCCCCAAAATTTAATCAGGTACAAAATACTAAATTGTTGAAGTATCTAAATATGTGGTTTAACCCCAGCTGGCAGCTTTACCACATGCAACCACTCACTCACTTTCCCTGGAGGGATGGGGGAGAGAATTGGAAGAATAAAAGCAAGGAAAGTCATGGGTTAAGATAAAGATAGTTTAATAGGGAAAGAAAAAGCTATTCACCCAGGCAAAACAAAACACAAAATTAATTCACTGCTTCCCATGGGCAGGCAAGTGTTCAGCCTTCTCCAAGAAAACAGGGAGGTTGGAACTAGATGATCTTCAAGGTTCCCTTCCAACCCAAACCATTCTATGATTCCATGAAAAAAAAAATTACCAAGTTATTATTAATCTAATGACAGTGTATTGATAAACAAATCTATTTAACTCTTCCAGGACAAAACCATATTTATAGAGGTCTTGTTTAAACAAGTGAATGGATAATGTGGAGCAAAGAAAAATCTATTTCCTAGGTTCTTTTTAGCATGTGCCCAGTTCTTATTAAGATGAGGGAGTTGGCACAATATTTTTTGTATAATTGCTATTGATGTTTCTGCTTACCCATGTTTGTGAGTGCAAAATCCAACAGCAGTGTAATTCAAGTTACTGGAACCACATGATATTTCTATTCTTCTAGAGGTATCACAGTGACAGAAAGTTGACAAATTAAAGCTTATTCAAATACTAAAAAAAAAATAAAAATACAAACCCAGACCAAAAAACCCTATCAGGAGATTGTGGAAGCTAACTTGGAAGAAACAATGTAAAATGCATGTGTCAGGTTGTCACCTGGAGATAGAAATATGAGTTGTGCATTTCACCAGATATCTAAGAAAGGTGTCAACAAACAAATGAGAAACATGAAAAGTAAACCCTTGAGTTTGCACATGGACTTGAGTTTTCAGGAAATAGACTATATTTTTTACTCTGTAGTTTAAGGTAATTTCAAAGTCCAGATTTACTGAATGTCAACAATATTTACTATCAAGACCAAACCAGGGCCAGGACTTGAGAAAAAGCATGTACATTGGAAAACCTTGAGTATGTCCCATGCTGTAGTGTAAGGAGTCCCAAAATAGAGGGGTCGGGGCAGGACAAAACACAGTATGTCTCTGACAAAACTTAGAGGTAATTCTGTAACTACCTGCTAAATAGATGTGAACAAATAGGATAAAGAGGCACCTGTACTCTGGAAGATGCCTATTTACTGAGGTAGCCAAGAAGTTTGAGAATTAGGGAACCTACAAAGCTGCTGTTTCCTACTGTTTGGACAATCTGTGACAAAGGGAGGTGGCAGCTGCTTCTTACAGGTGTTACATCTCCTTCACAGCCATGCCACGGGGGGCTGCAGGTGGTCAAGAAAGAGATGCCAGCTTCTGACATGGAAGATCTGTGGTACCTTTACACTCAAGCTGCCTGGGAAGGGAGACTGCCCCCAGGACACCATGGGTGTAGGACACACCTTGAATTTATGCTGCTTCCCAGAGAGAGCAGTTCCCACCCCACGCTCCGGTGTGTCTGGGGCTCCTCTGAGCCATGTGCAAACCCACAATGGCCCCTGCAGCCAGCACCTCTTTGCAGACTCAGGACAGAAAGGAAGAGCAGCATTGTTCAGTGATGCACAGGGGATCATTCTGACTAATAAGGTGGAGTTAAGAAAAGGGAAGCAGGCTGGATACCAGCAGCAAAAGGTAGTAAACATCATCTCTTCCTCCAGGGGGAAATTATGGAAACTACTATTTTACAGAGGGCATTTCAAAGCAGACTAGGTCTCATAGCATGAGAAAATCTACTGCAGGGACCAGTCCTGCACTAACAAGAGATGGATTCAAAACCCTAACTTCTTTTTTGCTTCTGACTTACACCTTTCTGCTTGTTTAGGACACTATTACTTCTCACTAAATTACATCTCTATAATGTGAGAGATGCTGCAGTGCTGCCTTCCTATGTCTGGCTTAGGGATCTCTTTTTAGCTCCTCTTCAACCATGTTCTGGGTATAATGAAGCGAGGTCACACAGAAAACACAGCAACTTGCTGCTGTTCTTCATTAGCATTAAGTCCTTTCTTTGTAGTCATTTTCATGACAGAATTATTAGATTTAAGACTCAGCAGTGTTCTGCTTTTTGATTTTTTTTTCAGTCTTTCCAAACCCTTTTCAGACATTTAAATAACCTTTATGTTAATCTATGACAATTTTAGAGGTACACGAGTAAGAAGCCAGGTGTCACAGAATGTATTTCAGAAATATAACCAATATGAGAAATGTCATCTTGTGCACTGAACCAGCAGTGGCTTAAATTATTGACACGGTGATGTACTTTGCTCTTTCTTTACAATAATCTGGCAGCCAAATAAAGTCTTCATTGCCACCTGGAAGAAGTGTACAGTTTTCTCCTGAGGGTATTTTTTTAAAAAATTATGCTAAGATACAAACACACACACACACACACACAAAAACAAAAACAAAAACAAAAACAAAAAAAAAAAGAAAACCAAAACCACC